ATAAATTATCTGAATGTGTTTGGCCATATTTCTTCTCAGCAGATCCAGCTTGAGGCAAGTAAAATTCTCATGTTTCCCGCATAGAGTTGCATATTCCAGATCATTACTCAGACAATGTCTTTCTCTCTCCCTCTCTTTCCCTTCATGTAACCATGGGGTAAAAAAGATAGGGAATAGGGAGGAGTTTGGACCTCTGATAAAGTTATAGATAAGGATCTCCTTTTATTATGATACTTGCAAGGCAGTTGTTTAAATGTTTATGTCACATCAAACCCCACAGATTATACTGTGGAAAGGCAAATGCAACTCTTTCCCATCCAAACATTGCTCAGTTTTAACAATTCCTTTGCAGGACTAAGAAGTTCCTTTATGTTACTTCCCAAGCTGTTTTGGATTGCATGGTTCAAACACATCCCAGTTGTGTGTGTGTGTGTGTGTGTGTGTGTGTGTGTGTGTATAATAAAAATAAAAGCTCTACCATGATAATTGAGGTGACACTTATCTAAAAATTAAACCTAACCCTTTACACATTGCAGTGCCTTGAAAGTTATGGAGGAATATGGAGATGACCCTGAAAAAGGGAATTCAGTGATAATTATATAAACATTTATATATCTAGCCTTGATAGACAGGAGGAAGCAAGGGGAAAAAAGATCAAGATGTTATCTGTTAGTTTTCTTTAGTATAAAAAGAGAGAGAGAAAAAAATCTGTTAGGCTTCAAGGTTATTGTTATTGTACACTCTAATAAGAAAGGAGAGTTTCATTAATTCATGTAGTGTCCATCTGGTCTGGCTCAGTTGCTTCTCTCACTTCTGATAACTTGGTGATTTTGTGGAATGTCTTTAGTCTGTTCAGTCAGCTTATCAAATGAGAGGAAAAGATGATGAAAAGAAATATGCAGTGTGGAGAAATTCTACAGCAGATGCCTACTTCTGTTCTGTTCTTTTTTCCAATTGCCTTTGGATTTTGATGCAGTGTTCTAATCCTGAGGACATTATTCAATTATTGTAGAGAGGGATGGTTTAAATTGCCACTAGTGTGTTTCTTGTTCAATTCTACCCTTTAAAAAAATAATATTAAAATTTGAGCAGGAGAAGCTAATGTAAACGAAATCTGGATGCTGGACCTGCATGCCACACAGAAGTAATAATAATAATAATAATAATAATAATAATAATAATAATAATAATAATAATAAAATACAAAGACCTACAAATAGAAATAGAAAGACTGTGGCAAAAGCAAGCAAGGTAGTACCAATAGTCATAGGCGCCTTGGGTGCAATCCCAAAACAACTGGAGCACCACTTGAACACCATTGGCATGGACAAATTCGCTATTAGTCAATTGCAAAAGGCGGCCTTACTAGGAACTGCTTCCATCCTGCGATGATATCTGTAATACCATCAAACATCCACATCTGCCTATCCCAGGTCCTAGGTAAGGACTCGATAGGTAGACAAAATGCCAAATCCAGTCTGAACATCTGGCTGACTGTGCGATGATCCATAATAATAGTAATAATAATAATAATAATAATAATAATAATAATAATAATAATAATAATCGCCAGCCAATTTGAATGTTCAGTTGACTGAGGTTCATGTCTAATGAATAAAAGATAATAATAATAATAATATTAATAATACAAAGATTGATGGCACAATGGAAGACACAATTGCAGATCAATGGTGAGAGACTGGGAGAGGTTAATATCAAGAGAGGAATATTTCAAGGAGATTCATTGTCATCATTACTATTTGTTATTGCACTGTTTCCTCTGTCAACAATACTGAATAACTCAGGCCATGGCTATCAAACATCAAAAACATCTACCAGACTATCCCATCTCCTTTGCATGGATGATCTGAAGCTGTATGGAAAAACATCATCTGAAATAGAATCGCTGCACAACACTGTCCATATATATAGCCAAGATATTGTTATGGAGTTTGGCTTGGACAAATGTGCCACACTTACTATCAAACAAGGAAAAGTAGTGAAAACTGAAGGAATCAAAATGTCCCACGAAAATAGCATTAAGAGTCTGGATGAGGAAGATTACTACAAATACTTGGGTATCCTTCAAGCTGACAATATCAAGCACACTGAAGTCAAGAAAAAGATTAGAGGTGAATACATCAAGAGAGTGAAGAAGATCTTAAAGTCCAAACTCAATGGAGGAAATACCATAAAGGCAATCAACACCTGGGCAGTTCCAGTCATTAGGTACACAGCTGGAATAGTGGACTGGACTCAAGCAGAACTAAAAGCAATGGATAGGAAGACAGAAAAATAATGACAATGAATCATGCCCTTCATCCACGCAGTGACATTGACAGACTTTATCTACCAAGGCAAATAGGTGGGCGTGGAATGCTACAAGTACATCAGATGGTTGAAGAAGAAAAAATGGCTTTGGAAGAATATCTGAAGAACAATGATGAAGATGCACTGAAATTAGTATAGCAGGAAGGCTTACTGACTACTGGAGAGACCAAACTGGCCTACAAGAAAGACCAAATGAAGAACAGAATAGAGGCATGGGAAGACAAGCACTACATGGCCAATACATGAAAAAAATAGCTGGGAAAGCAGATAATAATAACCTGGCAATGGCTAAGAGCAGGAAAATTGAAGAAAGAGACCGAGGGACTAATTCTGGCGGCACAAGACCAAGCCTTAAGGACAAATGCATACAAAGTCAAAATTGAGAAGACAGCAACAGACAGTAAGTGCCGCCTATGCAAAGAAGCTGAAGAAACAGTGGACCACCTGGTAAGCTGTTGCAAGAAAATTGCACAGACTGACTACAAGCAGCGGCATGACAAAGTAGCATACTTTGGAAGATCTGCAAAAAATATCATTTGCCTGTAAGCAAAAACTGGTGGGATCATAAAATAGAGAAAGTCACAGAAAATGATAAAATTAAACTGCTCTGGGACTTCAGAATTCAATTAGACAACCACCTGCAACATAACACCTACAAAGACCTACAAATAGAAATAGAAAGACTGTGGCAAAAGCAAGCAAGAGTAGTACAAATAGTGATAGGCTCCTTGGGTGCAATCCCAAAACAACTGGAGCACCACTTGAACACCATTGGCATTGACAAATTCGCTATTAGTCAATTGCAAAAAGTGGCCTCACTAGGAACTGCTTCCATCCTGCGACGATATCTGTAACACCATCAAACATCCACATCTGCCTATCCCAGGTCCTGGGTAAGGACTCGATAGGTAGACAGAATGCCAAATCCAGTCTGAACATCTGGCTGACTGTGCGATGATCCATAATAATAATAATAATGGTGGTGGTTGTGGTGATGATGGAAGGGATCTTGGAGGTCATCTAGTCCAACCCCTGCTCAGGCAGGAAACCCTATACCAATAATGGCGAACCTTTTAGAGACGTAGTGCCCAAACCGCAACCCAAAACCCATTTATTTATCGCAAACTGACAGGGCCGCATCACCATTATGGTGCCCTCAGAGGGAGGGGCAGGGAGGTGTCTCTGAGTGCTGCCTCTGGCATGCAAAAACCGGGGGCGCAAAAATGGCCCACCATGCTGCAAGGCGTAAAAACAGCCACTGTGATGCCATGGGATGAAGATACAAGTGGCTGTACCATGCAAGAATGGGGCAGGGCTACTGAGTATCAAACAGGTGCTAGCCCCGCTCCATTTGCAGCACATGCATGCTTGCAGCCCCATGCATGGATGCATGCATGTAAAATGCTTCCCCCTCCCTTTTCTTCCAGTCCACCAATTGACAATGGTTGGTGACCTCTGCTCTACCACCTCTACTCAAGCTTGCTAGTTGGCCGCTTAGCCTCCTTTGTGCTAGGTGGGGCTCCTGCTCCGGGTGGCAGTGGTGGTCTGATGGACCTGCTGCTGGCGGTAGTGGTGCGCATGCCAACAGAGAGGGCTCTGAGTGCCACCTCTGGCACACATGCCATAGGATCGCCACCACTGCCCTATACCATTTCAGACAAATGGCTGTCCAGTCTCTTCTTAAAAACTTCCAGTGTTGGAGCATTCACCACTTCTGGAGGCAGGTTGTTCCACTGGTTAATTGTTTTAACTGTCAGGAAATTTCTCCTTAGTTCTAGGTTGCTTCTCTCCTTGATTAGTTTCCATCCATTGCTTCTTGTCCTGCCTTCAGGTGCTTTGGAGAATAGCTTGACTCTCTCTTCTTTCTGGCAGCCCCTGAGATATTGGAACACTGCTATCATGTCACCCCTCGTCCTTCTCTTCATTAAACTAGACAAACCCAATTCCAGCAACTGTTCCTTATAGGTTTTAGCCTCCAGTCCCCTAATCATGTTTGTTGCTATAACATATGTTACATTTACATTTTTCATTTCATACTCTTAGGGCTCAGATGAAGGGAGCAATCCACCATCTTTCAACTAGTCAAACAGGCACATTCTAAGAGCTGGAACAGCAATTAATTCAGAAGCAAGAAATACAATGAGATCCTTTCACCCAACTATTGTTTAGCTCTCTTGAAGGTGTGATAAACTTATATGAGTGGAGCTTCAAGAGCTTAGAAGTTGAATGTAAGGGTAACTAACAAAAAAAGGAAAAATAACTAGGAGTTATACTGAAGAGTAGGGTGGGTCTCTTAAAATACAAAGTAACAATTTTGCAATTGTATTGTCTTCTTTCCTGGTAATTATGTATTCATTGCACTGTAAAATCTTTCAACCACTTGGTTGTCATCATCACAGAGAGGTCTTTGAGAAAAATTAAGACTTTTTTCTGCTTGGTAGAAGAATGGTTCTACTATTTTGACTATAATGTGGTTGCAAGACTTCATTCCTTTCAGGATATATTAGAGTTAATAGCAGCAAAATTATTGTAGTGTGGCCTAGCTGACCATGATTATTTCTGCTTTTTCTTTCCATCCTTCCCAGCCCTGTTTTTGTCTGTTCCCAAACAGAATGCCATTAATGCAAGCACACACATAAATCTAAGAGTAATGTATAAACAGTACATACCGGTAGTAAACCAGATCTTATCTGCTTTCCTGGAATTCACAACAGTCTGGAGGTGTCTTACAGAAGAAAGGTGTAGAACTAAAGCAAAACAAAATGGAAAATGTTATGTATATTGGATGGCAATTTAGTTCAGAAAACCATGTAAATCCAGCTAAACCAAGCAATTGTGCAAGGCTATGCCTCAGAACATATTTTTCCTTCGTAATAATTTTAAAATAGACCAATCTTTTATCTGCTCAAAGATTTTGCTTAGGTAAGCTGGGTCCTAATGTTGTAGTCTCACACATATTTAATGTGACCACAATGGCAAGTCATACATTAGATTAATGTAAAATATGACATATGTTTACCCACAAACGTTAGTAAGGAAAATATGAGAATTTGAAATACAGAGTGTTGCAAGCATGTGTGTGTGTGTGTGTGTGTGTTACATACTGTTTTGTTCCTGCATTTAAACTAAATAATAAATCAAAATAATAGTAAAAGCATCATTTTTTAACTTTTGGATGATCGCCTATCAGAAATAACACATAAAATTCAAATATAGTCTGATTATCAAACTTTCTCCAGGACAGATTACAAATTTAGTACAATTGTTATATGACATGAACTAGTGCATGATAAAACTAACAGGAAATGGGTTTTTTTTTAGGTATTGGATACAGTAAATCAAAGCTAATGAAGCATACATTGGCAGTTTTATGTTATAGGTTCTAATTAGGAAGTATGTTAGTGAAATTGGGGCATTTACTTAATTGCTGTGAACAATTATTTTCAAATTAAGGCTGGCAATTAAAATCCATGATTAAGCTCAGAGAATATGTTTTCTCTTGTCCTACAGATACCGGTAACTTATTTTGCTCAATGTGCTATGCTTGGTAGTCAACAATGAAAAGTATCTGTCAATTAACCAAAGTAAATCACATGTCAGGCCTGGTGTAAATCTTGACTGAGCACACATTAGGGAAAAAAGCAATTTATGTTCTATCTCAGTATTTAAGAAACTTAAGATCACCTAGGAATGCATTAAGCCAAATTTTTCCCCTTTCCCTAGGAATGCATTAAGCCACATTTTTTTCCCTTTCTAAATTTGAATGTAAATTGGAGCTGATAAGGTCAAAGAAAAACTGTAATTATCATTTATATAACTGGTTTATGCAACCAATCTTTATTTCCCAGCTAAATATTTTCCCTCTGTTGGCATATAGATTTTTCACTATTAGAATTTAAGATGCAATACCATGGTCTCTGAGAAAATATCCTTGAGACACAGGATTTTAAAGCACTTGTAAGAGGAGAAGGAAATCTGCAGACACAGGAGAATAGCAATCCCACTGAGACAGTGAAAATCTACTTCCATTGGTCCTCTGTCACTGATGTTCTTTTAGAAAAAAAAGAAGCATGTCAAACGCATGCTGATGATCAAAACAGATCTGGGATTTTCAAGATCCAAAGCTTTCTCATTCCTCCAACACTCTCAATAAGAAGGACACTTACTAGAAAGAGGCATTGCATTTCTGACTATAATGCAGATTTAATCACTTGCAAATTTAAAATGATATGCAGATTGTTACAAACATGGAATGAAATTACCACTACTTATACTATATAGTATACAAACTTACCATGGGAGCTTTAGTAATAGTGGCATCAGCAGAGTGATCAAATAAACCCCATGTGATGCAGATGTCATTAGATCATGAGTCCTATTGGATAGAATCTGTTACTTAAATCTCATCAAGAAAGGCTGCTAGCTGGTCCTCAGGTTAATGATTACCCTTCCACTTGTCTGTATTGACTTCAGGAACACTAGGCCTGTACATCTGAAGTGAATTCTATTTTGATCACCTTTAGAATAAATAAAGCTGTGATAAATTCATCATTTCTGTTGAGTTTTAAAATCAGCATCTTAAATGCGGGAGTAAAATCTACAAACTCTGTTTTCTACTTTTTTTCTATGCTAAACATTAAAGGTACATTTTTTTCTGCAAAGTTTAACTGGAAATATATGCACAGTTACCTATGCCAGCCCTCCATCCCCCCCCAAAAAAAACAAATTTCCAACAAGCAATGGGGAAAAAAATGAGCATAGCAGGGAAAAACATATTTTGCGCTTTTTTGAAGAAAATATAAAACACTAAAAGTTATTCTTTATACTGACTGAATCATTGATAATCTACCACTATAAATTGGTATACACTGTAGCTACTAACATATCTGAACTTGACATTATAATTAGTACTCCATCTTTTCCTGGTACTTATTCATAATGGGCAAGTAGGTTTTTCTGTTGTCTAAACATTCATTGGCTAATCTCCTAAAATACAATCTAAACAAAATGTACTTTAAAAAAAAGTTAGTAGATAAATCACTTCTGTCAATTTATTTGTCTTTTTGACATTTATTTTCCTAATTATTGTGTGGATTGTTAAATCACTTTGATTTCAAGTGTTTCCTCTGTATAATTGGCCAGCATCTACAGGGAAGAAAAAAAGAGAAAAAAAATCATTTTTTTTTGGGTGAGAGGAATTAGAGTAATTAAATACTTGTATTATTCACAGTTCAGTAGAATTACATAACTACACCTTATTATTAAAGGCAACAACTTTTCCTGACTGAAGATGTGCTATTAAGGCAGTATCAGCTCTTAGCAACCACAGAAATAGACTTTCTACAGGACGAGCTATTTATGTATTTATTAGATTTTTTATCCCTCCTTTATTAGTTTATAAGTAACTCAAAATGGCAAACATACATAGTAATCTTTCCTCCTCTCACTTTCCTCACAACAATCATCCTGTGAGTGGGTTGGGCTGAGAAAGAGTGACTTTATACCTAAGATGGGACTAGAACCAGCTGGTCTGGTTTCTGGGCCAGCATCTTAATCACTAGACCAAACAGGCTCTCTATGATCTATCCCACCCTGACTCTGTGAGTCTTCTGGTGATGCCTCCACTCTCACTGTAATAATCCCCTTTCTCCCTCTCTCTCCCTCCCTCCCTCCCTCTCTCTCTCTCTCTCTCTCTCTCTCTCTCTCTCTCTCTCTCCCTCTCCCTTCTCCCTTCTCCCTTCTCCCATTACAGATTTCTTAAGAGAGTTATATCTTCACATAATATGTCCAAAATAGATTAATTTGAGAGCTTGATTATTTCTGCCTCATGAAAATCTTGTATTGATTTTTTTCAGTGATTCATTAGGTAATTTTTTGGGCTATCCATTGTATTCTCAGGACTCTTCTCCAATACAAAAAGCATCAATAATCTACCTTACCTACTTTTCCAGAGTCCAAATTTCACTTCCATAGAATTAGGGCTAGCTTTAAGTTAAGATCAAATAGGCAATGATCCAGGGATCAAAACTTAGGAAACACCACTGCTCTCCCTTCTTCTAAAATATCAATCTTTGCATTGGTGAGAACCAATTTTTGCATTGGTGAGAGGTGGTGCCATTAATGTGTCCTTGGGACACCACGTATCCTTAAGTTGACAGGGTGTAGAATATCATCACTAAATCTAGTGCCTGCAAAATTCCTTTGTAAGTATAAACACATCACAGCATCTAACTATCTTTTCCAAGGTCCTCATTGCTACCAAGTTCTAGTCTCTGGAGTATTTCTTATAACTACGGACTTCTTTACTATTAATAATTGATTCTAAAAAGCAGAAGCTATCCAGTAATGCAACAGTCCCCAACCTCTGTGGCTTGGCAGTCCAGATTGGGGGAAGAAGAGAACCAGGCCGTGTGTGTACTGGCCCACTGCTCACACGAGTCGAGCTGTATATGCCACTTGCATGGCCCAGTCCCTAATAGGCCACAGTCCCCTAGTAGGCCATGGCCCAAGGGTTGGGGTCCCTGCTCTACTGAACAACGGTCTACTAAAAAAAAAATCTGAGTCTAAAGGAGAATCTCTTCTGAGATACATCCTTCACCTCTACTCTTCTGGACTTAGCTTTCTCTTAACAGAATGTTGTCTAGGCTGCAACTCTTCTTCCTTTCCCTGAAGGTTCACAGCCCTTTACAGGTATTCACTGAACTGACTTGATTTATTCTTCCACAGAAAACTGTTTTGTGTGTGATTTTGCACTAAAGTTCTGAAAAACTTCAATTAACCACATATTAAAATATGAATTTTAGGTAAACACTTATTTTTAGAGTGAAAATAATTAAATATACATTTTCATTAATAATGTTTATATTTGTGAGTTAACAATTTTAATATCCTTTTTTTCTCTCTAGACTCCTGTGTAAACTTACAAAAATGATACAGAACATAAATCGATTAATCTATCCATCCTCGATGTACTGTCTACCTTTGGGCCAGTGATCTTATCCAAGAGAGGAAAACCCGAAATAGCAAACAGAATATTCTGTTTGATTGGATTGGAAGAAACAGATGGTAACTTCCTATAAGGGTTTTCAACCAAACATTAATCCCTGTAATCTTTGTTAATTTATATTAATTTATATGGTTTCCCATCTCATCAATGCAATTCTCAGTGACTAACAGAAATTCAAATACAATAAAAGCACAATTATGTATGTATATTTATACTATGAATTAGAATAAACATACATTAGAATTAATTTATTATTTTTCCTTGATAAAGAAAGATTCCCAGTATACAAAGTCTATTAGCTTGTTGAACCCAACCACAATTAAAGAGACATGCTGGAAGATACGCAGCAGGATGAGCTTACATATGAATACCAACAATGCCTTTATAGGACCTGCCTCAAAGGAACACAAATATTTTTTCAAAATTCTCTAATATACTGTATGTATAAGTAACACAGTTTTTGAGATTGATTATCTCGGCAACATTTTCTCAAAATTCCATTTTCTTGGGGAGAGTAGCCCAACTATTGAAAAAGCTCAACAAAAGGAGTTCCCTTAAAATGCCTTCTCTTAGAATATAATTGGAGTATAGGAATCAAGGAAGTCCGCAAACCACTGGACCGATGATTGTACAATAAAAAGAAAGTCACGCATGTTCTATGTTGTAACTATGTATGTGCAAAAGTGCCACACACTCTACACTTGACAATTTAATTGAAATGTTGTCTACCTTTAAAATAATTCTAAAGTAATTTCTGTTTCATTAGATTGAATGACAAATGGTGGGGGGGAAATGCAGGAGAATTCTTTCTCTAGCCCTAAACTGTTATATTAAAACAAAACCTAATATAAATGTATAGTATCAATACATTTTTTGGTACCATTTTTGTTAAACCTATTCTTCACATGCCACCTTCTATCTATAGCTATCCAAATTTATATACTATTTTCCTCCAAGCTGAAGGCCAGGTTACAGTATAATTAAAAAAACATAACACAAACTTTAACAATCTAATTTTTTAAATATTATACTATAATGACTGTGAACATAATTAATAGCAGCAATAAAAAGATATAGCTTTCAGGCTTTTAAACTGTCCTTCAACTACAGTTGAACAGATGGGCATCAGTTGTGACAACAATGGAATTCAGTGCCATAGCTTTTCTTCGAGTTTCTTCCCCATACTAAACAGACTCCATAGGAGAGTGCATTGATTTCATTAACCTTGAATAAGTCCTTATTGAATTATATGGAATAATAAGTAGTAAAGCACATATTTGGCACAAAGAAGGTGTCCAGTTATTTACTAATAAGTTAGAATACTCTACTGTCCTTTCTCCAAGCACTCGAGACAACATACAAATGTTTTCTCTTACCTGAACAACTGAGCTAGTTACTGCGATAAAAGAAATAACCAAGCTGGAAACTAGGAGACCCTGAGTTCTAGTCCTGTCTTAGCCATAAAAGCCAACTGGGTGACTTTGGGCCAGTCACTTTCTCTCAGCCCAACCCACCTCACATGGTTATTGTTGTAGGGAAAATAGGAGGCAGATGTGTTCACCACATTGAGTTATTTATTAAAATAATGACAGTAAATAAATAAACAAACAAATAAATCCTCTTGTGTTGAACTGAGGAACATGACAGAGAGAGAGAGAGAGAGAGAGAGAGAGAGAGAGAGAGAGAGAGAGAGAGAGTCACCAGGTGGTTTTCCATGGTGGAGAGTAAAGCTAAACTTGGGTCTCCTCATTCCTAGTCTAAGTCTTTAACGAATGTACCCCGCTAGTGGTTCAGTTGGTAGATTTACCCAGAATGGCTAACTTTCAGAGAATTCCCATTCTTTTAATGAACAAAACTGACCAATCTAAGCCTATGGTTTTATCTTGTTATATAAAGGTAAAGATAAAGGTTTCCCCTGTCAAGTCATGTCTGACTCTAGGGGGTGGTGCTCATCTTTGTGTCTCAGCTGAGGGAGCCAGTGTTGTCCTATAGCAGCTTTCTATATGTCTCATTATATGAACAAGTTGATACATAGGCTCTTCCCCAGGGTATATTAATGTCAGAACAATTTCTAAACTGCATCTCTTACTGGACAGAGTAAGTTAAAAGAGAAGCCAAAGATTAAGATCTTTGTGAAATGGTGTCTTACAGGTGAAAGACATCATGCCAGTAGATGCCTTCAGATCTGAGCATTAGCAGATTATATTAACATCTGTATAAAGATGTGACAGATTAAAACTCAAACAATATGCTGTTCCTCCCCCCCCCCATTTTCCTTCTGTCTATCAAGAGATGTGTTGATTCTTGGTGGGATTTTTTTGTACTATGCAGTATAGGATGAGACAGGAAAGAGCAAACCCTCTTATAGG